AACTACTCCTCTATCCTTTAGGGTTAGAGGGAGAATTACACTGAATAATACACATGAATATACTTCATGCTTAGTAAACATAACTTTACTATCAGTTTTGATTCCAAATATAGCAGGTGCTAACTCAGCAGAGGTCCAGGTATCTGTGAGAAGACTGTGAAACTGAAGCTGATCAGTGAGCAAGGAAGAGCTGAAAGTAATTCTGACAGTTTTATTCCTCAGAAGAAAAAAATGACTACTGGTCATCGACTCAATGACCACCTCTGCCCTGGTTTCACCAGGGTAGCTTACTTGGTTATTTCAATAGACTGCTTGTTCTGGGCTTCTTTATTTTTTAATTTATTTTAATTTTCACTGTGAGTACAGGACACAGTTCAAACTTTAATAATGCTATCAACATGAAAGAACTCAGGGAATATAGTTCCCAAGAGCCCTTCCAAAGTATCTACTAGAATATAAGATTTGAGCATCAAAGTATCTAGAGAAATATCAACCTAAGAATGGTGCCAAGTGTTGAAAATGTAATTATTTATTTGTAGTACCAAGATTAGATGAGGGTTAAAGGGAGAAAGAATATATTTAATAACGGTATGCTCAAGCAATGAATATAGACTATAGATTGTAGCATAGAAAGAGAATGGAAAGGACATATACAGCATTTTAAAACTCTTCTCAGTAATTATCTACGCAGTGGTGATATCAATATCACTATTTTGAGATTCATAAATAGGATCAGCAAATGAGTAATTATGAAGCACTAGATTTTTTACTGCCCCCCTAAGTACATGAGAACCTTGAATGAGAACTATCAGTATGAACTCACGACTCAATCTATTAATAGGTGTGTGTGCCTATGTGTGTGTGTGAGAGAGAGAGAGAGACAGAGAGAGGATGAACATCCCTAGCAACCCAGATTCTTAGATCATGGTCTTGATGTACTTAACATTTTAAAAAACAGAGACATATTTGGGACAATGGCTGGTTTGAGGTAAAAGACAAGCCTAGCACATTTTTTTTTTTTAACATTAGGTAGTAAGAAAGCTATCAGAAACTATTAAGGCTCTCAGAAGCCATATTGAAGAGGCTCCTTCTGCCTAAAGATGAGACAATTTGAACTTCAGAAATTATAATAACTATAATTGGAACCCATCAAAATATTTAAGTACATTAATTCATAATAATTATTTAAATAGAATTGGTTATTTGGGAGGAAAACAGAGAGCCAGTCATCCTGAGAAGTGATAAATAAAGAAGAGTCAAGCACTTATATTGTCTTGTCTATATACCCCTGGGAACCTACCAAGCAGATGATAGAAATTATCTCATTGTAAAACAATCCAAGTAATAAATGAAGAAGAAATTATAGAAGTAGAATGTCAGAAATTATCTCATTGTAAAACAATCCAAGTAATAAATGAAGAAGAAATTATAGAAGTAGAATGTCTTTCTTTTGCAAGTGAATGGATTGCAAAAGAATGAATGGATTTAGGTAATGAGTATGAAAGGCTGTAATTAATAACATTACCACAAGAGAGAAGCAGACATTGTGTGCTTTATAAGGGAAGACCTCAGCACCACCTTAGTGATGCCAAAGCGTAGCCCAGTAGCAGAGCAGATTCTGAGCAAGCAGAGTTAGTCTTGCCAAAGGGGCAGAGCTGAGTCTAATCAAGTTCTGCATCCAGCTGTCAATCAACAAAAATGGACGCATCTATTGAGCTATGCCATAGGACACAATCAATAAAATCAGGAATGTGGGAAACTCTACAGATCAAATGCCCGGGGGTTTTCTAACAGATAACACACAAGGAGAAGAAAAAAGGAGAGGAAACCTATAAACTAAAGGAGACTTAAAAGACTTCTTTCAAGGCTAAGCTGGAGTATCCTAAGAATACACCCAATTAGGGATGGGTGATAAACTATTAAAAATACGCCCACAAGGAGGTGACTACTATATAAGTCAGGAGCCTGGTTACTCTCAGGGAAAAGGAAAAGTTAGGACTGAAGCACATGAAAGGATTGCTGAGGTGTCTGGAAAACTTCTATTTCTTGACCTGGGGAGCTTATGAGGGAGTCCATCTTATAAAAATAAAATAACAACAATAATAATATAATAATAAACTATACATTTATTTTATGTGGCTTTTTATATGTTTTATTTTACAATAGAGAGCTTTTAAACATTCTTTTGCAAAATGAAGAATAAATGTATGCAGTAAATCCAATTAGCCTCCTAAATTCTCTTTTCTTGGTAAAACTATGCTTTATCAGATAGTTTGCTCAGAACAAGTTTATGTGTATTCTGGGAATGTGTTTTCAAGAATTATTACAATCTAATCAATCAACAAATGTCTATTAAGTACCTACTCTGTACAAGATTCCACTGGAATTGTTTCACTGTCATTGGCTTATATCTTCAGGTATTTGCTCTGCTTCCTGGATTAACAATATACATTGTATAAGTATTCACTCTAGGTTTGAGTTTTCCTGTTTTGTCTGTTTCTAATATTTAGTTTTAGTAATTAGTTAAATTACTGCATTTCGGAGAGGAGAGGTTCATGAGACATTTCCATCACACGAAGTTCAGTGGTCCCTTCCCCGGGGGTTAGCCCTGCTGGCCCTGAGACCACAGGCCAGGGGTCCAGGGTGCCGCCTCCTGCAGGTGTCAGCAGTCAGACCTCTGCCTGCTGGGAATCTGCTCTGTTCCTGGGCTACACTTCGGTGACTCATTATCCCAGCCTCACCACCACACCACACGTCTTGGTAGTCAGTTCCTGGAAATGATGGTTTCCGAGAGGTTTATAATGGGTAACAATTCCCAGCAAAACAAAGGGGGTGTTTGAGAATTTTCACCAAATCAAGATCACAAACATCAGAAGCAACTTACTCCTTTCCACCAGAAAACCCCAGTTTCTAAACTTAAAGCTAAGTGAGTACTACAGTTTTTATGCTTTTTCTGCAAAGCAAAGGAACCACAAGAGTTGCAAAACTAAAAAATTCCCTTATGGCCATGAAGCTTCTATCTTTATCAAAAGTATTAAAATAGCAATAATAATACACCTGATACAAAGAACTGATTCATTGGAAAAGACCCTGATGCTGGGAAACAATGAAGGCAGGGGGAGAAGGGGATGACAGAGGACGAGATGGTTGGATGGCATCACCGACTCAATGAACATGAGTTTGAGCAAGCTCCAGGAGTTGGTGAAGGACAGGGAGGCCTGGCGTGCTACAGTCCATAGGGTCCCAAAGAGTCTGACACGACTGAGTGACTGAACTAAACTGAACATGATAGCTAATAGATAGCTAGGTAACATTGACCATGGGGCAGAGGCTGTTCTAAGCAGATTCAGTTCAGTTCAGTTCAGTCGCTCAGTCGTGTCCAACTCTTTGCAACCCCATGAATCACAGCACGCCAGGCCTCCCTGTCCATCACAAACTCCTGGAGTTTACTCAAACTCATGTCCATCGAGTCAGTGATGCCATCCAACCATCTCATCCTCTGTCATCCCCTTCTCCTCCTGCCCCCAACCCCTCCCAGCATCAGGGTCTTTTCCAGTGAGTCAACTCTTCGCATGAGGTGGCCAAAGTATTGGAGTTTCAGCTTCAGCATCAGTCCTTCCAATGAACACCCAGGACTGATCTCCTTTAGGATGGACTGGTTGGATCTCCTTGCAGTCTCAGGGACTCTCAAGAGTCTTCTCCAACACCACAGTTCAAAAGCACCAATTTTTCAATGCATTCATTTATGTAATCCTCACACAACCCAAATAGAGGGTACTATAACCTTCCTGTTTTACAGAGAATGGAAAAGAAGAGCAGAGAGGTTAAATAGCGTGCCCAAGGTCACATAGCTAGTAAGTAGCAATGCTAGGATTAAAACCAAGAGGTCTGGCTCCAGAGCCTGTGCTGTTTGCTACATGTTACCACACTGCCAGAAGTTCTTAACATTCCAGCAAGCCCAGTAAATGCTGTGTAGGGAGGACAGTAGTTTATATTTGAACCCTCACTGGCTTGTCCAGTTTGCATTTTCAAACCTCTGGCACACAGCACAGCTAATCAATGATCAAATATGATTCATCCACTATGGCTCTTACTAGTTCTTGAAGCTGCCCGCTTCTCTGCTCCCCCACTGTTGTTGCTCTGGTTCAGGTCACCATCATTTCTCCAGTAGATTATTGTAGGAGCCTCCTTCATGACTTCCCTGTATGGAGCTCGAACTGGAGAGAGAATGAGAGGCCCCAAAACAACAATATAAAAGGGTATGAACTTAAACAAAGAACACAGACACCAGCTCCAACAACTTCTAGAAGGGCTGGAGAGAGAGATGGAAGAACTTGTAAACTTAGGTCCTTGGAAATCTGGAGAAAGCCCAAAGCAGGGGTGGAGACGTGGACATGAACAGACTTGTGGACACAGAGCAGGAAGGAGGGGGTAGGACAAATTGAGAAAGTAGCATTGCCATATATACACTATCATATTCAAAATAGATAGCTAGTGGGAAGCTACTATATAACACAGGGAGCCCAGCCTGGAGCTCTCTGATGACCTAGAGGGGTGGGATGGAAGTGGGGAGGGAGGCTCAACAGGGAATGGATATATATATATATATAAAATTATGACTAATTTGCCTTGGTGTATGGCAGAAACCAGAACAATACTGTAAAGCAACTATCCTCAATTTTTTTTAAAAAAGTAGCAAAGCCACTATGAAGACAAAGAATCAAATCAGTCCGTAAAGAACGAGCTGCCTGGATCTGCCCTCAGGAACCATGGGCCAGGGGACTGTCCCCCTCCTCTCCACCTCTGCCAGCCTCTCGGAGGCTTATGGCTGCTGATCAGAGTAGCTTGACTGATTCCAGTCACCCTCCCTCCCGCACTGGCCTTGCTGTGATGTGCCCTGGGCAGGGCATGGGGCAGGAAGGAGACTCCTCACATGATCCAGCTTAATCCTCCTTTTCTCCCTTCCCAAGGCTGCACGCTGCAGAAAGATCGCTACTGGAATGCAGATCAAAGGGGGCCCACGGTGGGCAAGACGGGCCCTGCTCCTCGGCCTCCTCTGGGCTACTGCACACTTGCCTCCCCCAGGGGTCTCCCTGGCTCGGCGTCTCCCAAGGGCTACAGGTAGGTGGACACTGGGGTCAGCCACCCTGCTGCTGCCGCCACACACAAATAAACACAGAGAGGGGAATTCTTACTTGACTCACTTGCTTATGATTGCGGCTGTATTTGCTCTGAGTTTTAGCATTTGGTGGGGCTTCTCAGGTGGTGCAGTGGTAAAGAATCCAGAGACGCAAATTTGATTTGATCCCTGGGTAGGAAAGATCCCCTGGAGTAGGAAATGTCAACCCCCTCCAATATTCTTGCCTGAAAAATTCCTTGGACAGACGAGCCTGGCGGGCTATAGTCCATGCAGTCACAGAGTCAGACACGACTGAGCATTTAGATTATTTTAGCATTTGGTAGGATATCAAACACTTTCGGTTCTTCAGGTACGTTCTTGAAAACGGCTCTGAAATAACCCACAGACATCATGAAACAGAAGAGTCTTCAGATTTTATTGCTGGAAACTTCATCACGGAAAAAGGAATCTTTCATCCTAGAAATTCTCTCTGCAACAATGAATGATTCTCTGTAGGCCTTGAGATTTGTGGACAACTTGGGCTCTGGAATGGGAAAATGAGATTGCATGGATATTAGAAATTTTTATCTTCAGATATATAGTTTCTAATTGAGGAGGAAAAGGGGTTCAGAATTGCCTTTTAGAGTTGAAGCAGACAAGGAAAACCGATTTCATTATTTCTTCTTTTAAATTCATCCACTATCTTTATTTTATTTTATTAAAACACTTCTTTTGGGTCCCAAAGACTAATATTTTTAAGGATCTATAATTATATCATAGTCAAAAGAGATTTATACATTTTCACCAGAGTTCTTAAAATGCCACCCAGAAACCCCACACTTACTGTTTTCTTAAAGAATTTCTCTTTGTGGGCTTGGAATGCGTGACTGCAATATCCTTCAGATTGTCACCTCCTTTTCCTTACCAGGAAATAGCACCCAGTGTGTTATATCCCCATCATCGGAGTTTCCTGAGGGGTTTTTCACGAAACAGGAACGTGCAGATGGAGGTATCATAATCTACTTCCTAATTATCCTTTACATGTTCATGGCTGTGTCGATTGTCTGCGATGAGTACTTCCTACCGTCCTTGGAAATCATCAGTGAATGTAAGTAGCTGGAAATCTCTGTTATAACTTCGCAGAATAGTGATGTCACACAGATATATATCTGTGTTTGGAGAAATTCAGTAACAATCCTGTCCATCTTACCTGGCTGCAGAACACTAACGTCTGTGTTGTGGCGACCTGTACCATGAGGAACTGGCCTGACTGTGGTTTTCCTTGGTAGCTCATGTGCAGCAGGGCATCTTTAATGGGTATAAAGCAACTATCATACCAACCACATCTAAAAACTGCCAGTTTGTCTGCTGTATTGTCTAGCTGTTAGTAAACTGTTTCAAGTTTTATACACATGCATTTGGTGTATACTCCTAATACACTGGGCTCCTAATATTTGCCATCAAATACTTACTTTTTTTAAAAAATTTTTTACTCTGAAATCTCTGTAACTTTTTAGAAATGGAAGATGATAAACAAATGCCTTTAAGGACCACCCTCCTACCTCTTCCTTTCCCAGTCTCCTATAAGGAGGGAAAGGAAACTAATTCATGTTAATGAACCAACAAATGTATAAATAAGTCCTGCATCTTATGTAAAGTGACCTCAGGGATTAGGTAATTAAAAATTAAGCTCAGTTATTGGTTTCTGGGAAATAAGATCTGCCAAGCCCTTTAGTTCTATCTCTATAATCATGTGTATCACCCAGCATTCTGAGCACAGACCTTACATGGGTGCACTGGTACCTAAAATCAGGATACCAGTGCTGTATTATGGTAACTAAGCAAAAGTACCAGCATTTCCAGGCTCTATCTCCTGTTTAATTAGTTTAATTGGTTGAGCATGCTCACTTCACAGAAGGTCCAAGTCCAGGATTAGATTTCCCACTGCATACTCCCAGGATTGCACAAAAATAGCATGGCCCCTGCCCACCACCACACACACACTGCTAGCGTCTCTTCACAGAGGGAAATGAATGTAAACTCTCCTTTTTCCCCTTTTCCCATGGCCCCAACCCCTACCCCTGCTGAAATGCAAGTCATTTTCTCTCTTTTCTCTCTTGTTAGTGCAGTATAGCAATATCCTTAGGATTTAAAACAGGATATGGCAACAGTGGAGTCACTCAACACTTATTTCTCTAATTCAAAATATTTATAGAACAGGTCAGTGTAAGTTTATTATAATTATTATATAATTTATACATACAGTTTTACTTTGATATTATATTTGACATGGACATTTCTTTAGTAGAAATTAACATAATATTTTACTTAGACTGATGAAATGCAAGAAAAATAGAAGAAAAAGCATAAACTTTCTTACATTACTATCACTCAGAGATCCCCACAGTCGTCATTTGGTATATTTCCTTTTAGTCTTTTAGATCTTGCTACACATAAAATCTAAGACTGTTTCTTTTTCCTAAGATACTATTTTATTGTGTACATTTCCCCATATTATTAAATAGCCTTCAAAAACACAGTTTTTAATGGTAGCACAATACTTCCTACTTCTGTAAATGATTTCAGCACCTAACACTGGTTTTTATACAGAATGAGCACTCGGTAGAAATTCATCACAATTCTTTAAATTATTAGTTTTATTAGACATTTGATTTTTAAATTTTTTGTCCTACATAATGATCATACTTGTATCAAATCTTTGCAAACTTCTCTGACCATTTCCTGACAAAGATGCAGAGCCATGCATATTTTAAGCTTTATTTTATACATTGCCAAAAACATTTTACAAAAAGTGTGCCAACAAAAACCTCCACAATATATGGTAGCTTCCATTCCAGAAAACAATGAATAATATCATTTTAAATGTCTTTGTTAATTGCTTTAAAATAGTTTATTTTATAAAATTTGCATTATCTTATTATCTGTGACATTAAACATTTTATATAGGTACTGAAATTTGTGCTTTTGTTCTTGTGTTTTTTTTTGCCCATGTTCTAATTAGGGGAGTATTTGTCTTTTACTTATTGATTTCCAAGATTTTTTTCTAATATAAATTTCTAACATAATTTTCACATCATATGCTTTTTTATGGTTTGGTTTTGTATTTTGTGTGTTTATTGCATTGAAGTGTACATAGGTAAATTTATAAATATTTTCCTTTATTATTCTTCTTTTGGTTTTATACCTAGAAATCCTTTTATCCCTAGGTAGGAAAAAATTTCATCTTCTCTTCTACTGATAGTTTTTTCTTTTCTTAACATTTATTTATTTATGTTGAATATTTTTATTTTTTACACTAAGAATTTGTTTTCTTATAGGATACACTGCTATTTTTACCAAAAGTTGATCCATTTTCTATACCTTCAATTCTATATTCTAATGATCTATTCATGTTTGTACCAATACCACACTTTTCATTAGAAAAACTAAATCATATTAATTATATAAAACTAAGAAATTTAAAATTCAAGGTACTATCTCTCTACTTAGAATCTTTCTTTTTCTGGAAAATAATAAATCCCCCCTCCCCCTTTTTTTTGCTTTCTTGACTGAAAGAATAAATCCATCAAGAATTGTTTTTTAATAAAAACCTGTCTTGGGAGTAGTAAATAAATAAATAACTTTTCTAGCCCTGCAGAAGAAACTACTGCATTAAAATTTAGATTGATACTTCAAAATAATCTTCTTTAAGTAACTTCATGAAACATCTATAATAATGACTTCCACCATGCCACTTGTGGAATTACCTTGGAACATCATTAGCAAACATGCATTTCTCAAGTGAATTGCCTTTTGCTCTGAAATATAACACAGTAGCTATTATGGATGCGTGATTGATGGATGCCTATGCCACTGCCAAATCTTCAGCTGCTAAGAATTGATCCCTGTCTTGAGTATTGAAAATACTGGCAACAAAATGAGATAGAAATAGTGCTAGCTTGATTCATTTTTAAATGCCTATAAATTAATTCTCTCATTTCTCTTTTCAAGGTCTTAGCATGGTCTTGTCCAAATTAGGACATCAGCAATAAAAAACAGCTTCTCTGGAATTTGTTTACATCCATAGAAACTAGCCTCAGAAAGTCTGTAAATGCTTTACAATTCCCCATAGTTCTTTGATGAGCATGAGTTGTAACAGTCCCACCCAACTAATAAGTATTAATATTATCCTCAAAATAATTTACTGAGCATTATACATGTACTAGAATGTTATTAACTACTTACATATTTATTGTAGTTGTTTTTCATAAACATTTATAGAAGACCAAGCATTGTTCTAAATTAAATATATAAGGTTTTAGTTCTTCAAAAAACACTATAAGTAGGGACTATTAGATTGGTTTTACTAATGAAAAAACTGGGGCTGAAAGAATATAAAATTTCTCAAGACTACACAGGGCTTCCCAGATGGCACAGTGGTAAAGAATCTGCCTGCCAATGCAAGAGACACAAGAGATGCAGGTTTAATCCCTGAGTCAGGAAGATCCCTTGGAGGAGGAAATGGCAACCCATTCCAGTATTCCTGCCTGGAAAATTCTACAGATAGAGGAGCCTGGTGGGTTGTAGTTCATGGGGTCACAGAGAGTTGGACATGACTGCACACACACACACACACACACACACACACACACACAGCCAGTACACAGGAGAGCCCTGGTCTCTTTAATGTCAAAACCCAAGAATGTTTTCAATTGCTATATAATATAATTTTACACATCCTTATTTGAGATTAGCTGTCATAATATGGTTGTTTCAGAAGAACTGTTCTATTTAAATAATTTTAAATGTATTTTCCACCCAAGGGCACCGAAAATTTTGATTAAAAAATATATCAAATAGTCATTGTAACTACAGAGGATGTATATTACAAAATAATGAGAATTTACTGAGTCACTTTAAAACATCAGTTAAGAATTTCAGCAACCTACTGGGGGTTGTAAATTAATGTTATGAATGGTTACCCACAACAATTAATATGAGAACTAAGTATTTTGTTTACAATGTGCATGAAATTATAGCATCGTACTGTGGAACCAAATCATCACGTTTGATTCAATGACATCCTGTGGAGTACACGTCTGAGTCCCAATCTAGGATACAATGGTTGAATTTGCTGGCCCCTGGCCCACCCCAGCCCCATCGTCCCGTGATCCACTCTTGCAATCACTGACAATGGTTCATTTGGTTATTAGCACAAGGGGCTTCAGCACGGTGAACTCTAGAAGTGGCTGGGACTGCAGTCTCCTTGCTGATACTCTGGTCAGGCCCAGCTTAGACACATGAGTGCTTTCTCTGTCTGTAGCTATACACATTGGTTCTATATACATTGGTCTGTCAATTACTCTAGAACCACTACCACTTGAGGCTCCCAGTAAGGATCTTTCTCTTTCTTGCTCTACTCATCATGATCATTAAAGTTATACAACCTCTCCTTCACACCTCAACACTAGGAAAGCAAGCACACACAAACCCTGAGACATTTTGTTGTCATCTTAACCAAGTAGATCCGATATGAGAAAATGCTGCTGCTATACCACCTTCCTTTAATCCTATCTTCTCTTTTACCCATTTAAGTTCTAAAGGAAAAGAGGTTAAAGATGAATCTTTGAACACATTTATATATAATGGAAACTATATTAACTTACAGCCCATAGTAGGACGATTACCTTTCATCTTTATAAGCAGTTCATTTTTAGAAACACAGAAGTTCAGCAGAAAGCCAAAACAAATCCTTTACATATCATTTTAATATGTAATGGGGATCTCCTAGAGTTATTTAATCCCTGTTTAGAGAACCTTTCTTTAACTTTTCTTAGGCTAACTACAGAGAAAAACTGAGAACCCCTAGTGATTGCTTGGTCACTTGATACTGCCTAAAGTCCACAATGAGCTAGTTATGAAACTTTTCATCTTAAATGGTACACTAATATGCTATTCAGTTGATACTCTAATTCCTCCACCATGTTGATCCTTTGAAGTGTAACATTTCTTAAGTGAAAATGATCTTAATAAGGTTTTGGGAAACATACTTAAATAAAATATTTACTTTTTATTAAAAATTCTTTTTATTCATTCTGCTTTGAACTA